ATATATATATATATGTATATATATATATATGTATATATATATATATGTATATATATATATATATATATATATATATATATATATATATATATATATGTATATATATATATATGTATATATATATATATGTATATATATATGTATATGTATATATATATGTATATATATATATATATGTATATATATATATATATGTATATATATATGTATATATATATATATATGTATATATATATATATATATGTATATATATGTATATATATATATATGTATATATATATATATATGTATATATATATATATATATATATGTATATATATATATATATGTATATATATATATATATATATATATATATGTATATATATATATATATTTGTTTATGTATGTATATATATATATAAATATATATCATATCAATTATATACATTATATGATATATGTATATCTTTTATATATATATATATATATATATATATATATATATATATATATATATATATATATATATATATATATATATATATATATATTTAAAACAGGATATTTAACATGGCATATATGATATGATGTATATGATATTTGATATATATATATATATATATATATATATATATATATATATATATATATATATATATATATATATATATATATATATATATATGATACACGATATGATATATATTATGTGGTGTGATGTTATATGATATGATATATGATTATGAATATGATTTGATGTGATATGATTACGTATACATATGTTACATGTATCTGAATATGTGCTTCTCGTTGTGTATAATTCGTTATGTGTTATGTATATATGAGAGAGAGAGAGGGAAAGGGAAAGGGAAAGGGAAAGGGAAAGGGAGAGAGAGAGAGAGAGAGAGAGAGAGAGAGGAATACTAATATCATTGACAACAATCCGAAGAGACATCGATTTAATTTGTTTTAAGAGGCTTAAATATCCATTTTTGCACAGGTAGATAAGCGAGCTGCGTCTGCTCCCTAGAGTGCATTACGAATAAAGCGGCGAAAGGAAAGATGAGATAAAGGGATAGATGATAGTAATGATGATAATTATGACGGGGAAAATTGCTCATAAGTGCTTTTTCCGTTTGTATTCCACTTATTTTCAGGAACTTTTTTGTGAAAAGAGGAATGGCTGGATAGGACGAGCAGAGCACAACGATGTCGCAGTGGTAAAAAAGGGGTCAAAAATGTAGACTCTTCTACATAGAGAGAAAAAAAGACATTGATAAATACGAGATGGCGATAGGAACAGATAGCGTGGATGGGAGGGCAGGAAAAGACAGGAGAGAGAGACGGCGGGTTAGAACTGGATAGGAATGACGATGGAGTGTTTTCTTTGCTGTTAAAGATGACCTTCCATACCCCAACCCCCCCTTCAACCGCCCATCCCCCCCACTTCCACCCACGACTTGGACGCCCCCGCCCACGCCCTCGCCTTCGCGTCTCTCTCTCTCTCTCTCTCTCTCTCTCTCTCTCTCTCTCTCTCTCTCTCTCTCTCTCTCTCTCTCTATATATATATATATATATATATATATATATATATATTTCTCCCTGTTCAACTTTCCTCAGCTCTCCCGTCTTTTCTTCGCTACTCTTCTCTACTTCTCTCCCTCCCTCTCTCCTCTCTTCCTTCTGTTTCAACGCCCGTTCACTTTCCTTCCCTCTCCCTTCTCCTCCCTTCCAACCCTTTCCTCAACCAGAACACCCCCAAAGACCTCACAAGACACTCGTAGTTCCGGCGAACTACTACACGAATCCCCCCCCTTCTCTCCCCTCCCCTTCCCCCCCCCCCATGCCAACTGCCCCCCGAGAGCGTCTTTTGTTCCACGGGTTCCCGCAGGACGCCGCCGTAAGTCGCCCGTGAGAAACGCGACAGGTCAGAGTACGTCCCTGACACAAGCAGGGTCACTTAATGGAGGCAAAGAGCTGCTCTAACTACATTATTGGAACCAGTGGTGGATGGTCCTCCCCCTCTCCCCCCACCTCTCCCCAACCGCTCCCCGTCTCCCCATCGCGTCACCTCCGGCCTGTCCCACTCGGTGCTGCTGCTTCCTTGCGCCTTCCTGCTTCCTCTCTTTATCAGTCTTCTTCTCATTCTTCTCTCTCTCTCTCTCTCTCTCTCTCTCTCTCTCTCTCTCTCTCTCTCTCTCTCTCTCCCTCCCTCCCTCCCTCCCTCCCTCCCTCCCTCCCTCTCCCTCTCTCTCTCCCTCTCTCCCTCTCTCTCTCCCTCTCTCCCTCTCTCCCTCTCTCCCTCTCTCTCTCCCTCTCTCCCTCTCTCCCTCTCTCCCTCTCTCCCTCTCTCCCTCTCTCCCTCTCTCCCTCTCTCTCTCTCTCTCTCTCTCTCTCACTCTCTCACTCTCTCTCTCTCTCTCTCTCGTTTCATCTCCCCCTTTCTAACCCTCTTCATTCTTTCTCTTTGTTGCATCTCTCCTCTCCCTCAATCCTTTATTTTCTCTTACTAAGTTACATGTCGTGGGTCTATCATTCAGGCTCCTCTTTGCATCAGCCTCATTTCAGCAGTATTTTAGCTGGTCATTTTTTAAAGATTTACGGTCTTCCTTTTCTTTGTGTTTACGTAAATGCTAAGATCAATACTTTTTTCCCTTTACATGTAAAACTGCAAATGTTGCCATTGGATCGGTGGTAAAAAAAATGGAATAACCAAAATAGCAACTTTCGGCCGCGGTTCCTGTCTGAAGTTTGACATAGAGCGGCTTTATCTCCATTAATCTCTATTCGGGAGAATTACTGCTTCTGCAAGTCGTCGGATGCTGTGTTTTCTTGTGTATTTTAATCAAGGTTTTAACACGTTTGGCGACCTTTACTTTGTTTTTAGCTTGTTGTTATAGTTGTGGTCATTATTACTGTCATAAATTAGATTTACTCACTCATATTGAGTTTTTTTATCATAGCTACCGTTATTTGTTCTTATCAGGATCACGAGAAACATCGTGATTTTTTTTACAGGTATATTAATAGCTAATTAGACTGTTTATTGGCATCTGCATGACTAATGAATGAACAGTAGCCCCTCGTTTAAAATGCGCGTACTGTCCCCAAGCAGAAATTTATCAAGGAGAACAGAAAGCGTCGTAAACTAATACCACTAAACCACAACCATTTTCCAGTGAGCTTCTCGTCATTGTCGTAAACGCTGGGACACTTTGATTTATGCCGAGCTCTATTATATCGCCCGCTGATCAAGACAATGAGTTACCACAGTAATTCAGATAGTTTGGGAGAAGTTTGGGGGCGTGAGTGTCACAGAAACGTACCCCTGCGCCATCTGTTGGTGGTAAAGGAGATTATAGTTCCCCGGGTGTCAGTGGCGCCATCTGTCGCATGCTGTAGGAGCTTTCAACAGTTGCACATTGGGGGATATTTGGTGATGGTTGCTTTTATAATGGTGTTTGTTACTGCAAGTTCGATCCAATTGAAAGTTATTTTGACTATTTTTTTTACTGAATAAGAAACGTCGTGAGTTGTGGCCGCAAGCGAAATTTCCGTTTTCTCTTTCTGACTTCAAAGGTTCCGTTTTCTCTCTTTACACGAGCAGTAACTAAATAATGGATCGGAGACTTTCTTATTTTATCAGGATTGTTAATATCAATAGCTATTGGATAAAACGTTCGTAATTGTAATCATCAGTCACTATCTTCATCAGTCGCCATCATAATAATCATCATTCGTTATCATTATTATTCAACGTTCGTCATCATTATCATCATCATCGTTCATCATCATTACCATCTTTCCTCTTCATTCACAAACATAATCACCGTCATCACCATAATCATGATCATCATTGTTAACATGTCAATTATCAGTACTACTACTATTACTACTATTGATGCTATAAGATCTAATATAATATATGATATCTAATATTATCATCGTAGTGAACATAATATAAACTATTAATATAGACCTATTCTGACATTATTTTTCGAGAAAAATAGATATAGAGTAATAATGAATGGATTTTTTTCTTTAATCTAATCTGAGTTTGGCTTCGTGGCTACTATCTTTCTCAAAAGGGTGAAAAATAAGATTGCTGGTTAATAATTGACTGGGAGGTAAATTGATGATGAGGATAAGAAATATAAATTTAAAATTCAATGATCGAGTCATTATTGTTTTAGCAAGTCCACGTGGGGCGAGGCATGAGTGTGAATGCCTTTATTGGGTCTCTTAAGATGCAGCACGCCTCTCTCTCTCTCTTTCGGTTTCTCTCTCTCTCTTTCGGTTTCTCTCTCTCTCTCTCCCTCCTCCCTTCTTCCCTCTTTCTTCCCTCCACCCATCTCTCCTCTTACTTCCTCTCTCCCACTCCTCCTCTCGCCCTTTCTCTCCGTTCCTTCCTCTGTTTCTCAGATGCAGACAGACTCTCCTTCTCTCTAGCATCTCTCCCCTTCCATCTCCATCTTTTCGGTCTGTCTGTTTCCCTCTTTCTCAGAGATGGACGGAAGCAAATTTACAATCATTGACTCAAGACTTGCCACATTCCTCGCGCCGCCTCCCCCCCCCCCCCCAGCCATTTCTTCTCCTTTCTATTAGGAGATAAAGTCGGGTACTAAATTATTATCCTGATAGAGACGGCTGTGAATTGTGTGCCAAAGTTGTGTTTATGTGGGGGTGGGGGGTGCGGGGTTGGGGTAGGGTGGGGGTTACGGGAGTATTTGTTTACGTTTGGAATTCGTTGCAATATTGATTTGGAACTTTGGTGTAGTTCATTGGTTGATCGATTTTTCTTCTTTTTTTACGATTATTTGTTTTTCTCTTGTGCGTTTTGATTGTTGCTTCCTTAATTCTGATGCTTTCGTTTACGTAGCTGGAATTACGTACATTCCTTTCATCTTGATTTCAGTTTCTGCTCATATTGGCAAATATTTTCCCTTTACTCCTTGTATGAAAATTTTTCAAAATAGTTTGAAGTCTGTGCTAAATAAACCCCGTTTTCTCTTACAG